TACCTCAACGAGACGAAGGACCTCGGGATCACCTACGTCCGCGGATCAGGGCTAGACCTAGACGTGTTCGTCGATTCTAGTTACGCCGACAGCACCGTTGACAGGCGTTCGACGACGGGGCTAGCCGTGACTGTAGGTGGGACCGTAGTGTGCGCATCCACGAAGACACAGCCAGTGACGGCTCAGTCGACCACGGAGGCAGAGTATATTGCAGCCGGGGAGGGCGTGAAGGAAGCGTTGTTCGTGCGTGGTGTTCTGTCGTTCATTGCGCCCGAGACGAGCGGTGCCACGATCAGGGTCCGTGAGGACAACGAGGGGGCTCTCGCGTTGGTGCAGAACCCTTTCAGCTCGGCGAGGAGCAAGCATATCGACGTGCGGTTCCACTTCATCCGCGAGCTCTTCAAGGCGGGCAAGATCACCGCAGATTATGTCTCGACAGAAGAGCAGCACGCCGATATGCTGACCAAGGTCCTTGGTAGGGGCAAGTTGGAGTACCACCGGAAGGCTCTGATGAACCTGCCGATGTAGGGTTCTGGTCTCGTTTTCGTGGCGTTTGCTTTGTTTTGTTCTAGCACTGGGCGCGTCTCGGACCATGGTATGTCACGCAGGAAGCGTTGGGCAGGGGCGTCACCCGCGGCGGGAGCATAGGGTTTTTGACCAATTGCTTCGGGTGTGTAATCAGCGTGGCCTGTCCAATCTGTCCTGCCTTGGTCCTGCCCTGATAGTGCGACCGTTGGAATCCTTCGTGGTAGCGACGGTTTCTTTTATGTTTTGAGTTTGTAGGCAAGGGTTTTTGATCCGGATGACCGAGTTTTCCCTTGCACCCGCTGTTGTATGAGAATCTTAAGTAGATCTGGAGTATCCATGCCCCCTTGATGGTTTGTCAATAGCTTGACGAACCGGGGAGGGTATTCGTGTGTCTGGATACGAGCATGGTAGATCTGCTAGCAGCACGGGGGGGTACGTAGACAGGAGCATGCGTATGCCTGAAAAAGGCTACTATGTGTTGGCCCCCTTCCCCGAGTTCGGGAGGGCCACTTCTTCCCTTCCTTTCCTCGCTCCCGCGGGTGCCTAATCAGAGAGAGTTAAAGCGTGTCTTCTCCTCCCAAGTACGGACATACCAACACCATTTACGGTGCTGGGTGAGCGCACCCCGGTTCGATGACACCGATAGGTGCGATACTCCAGAAACGAACACAGGGGTTTCCAGGTACAAGATACCGTCATTGTGCGTGATACCGTACTAAAAATGAAGCGGTTGATGCGAGTTTGGGGTAGTAGCTTGTGTCAAAGACAACAGACGCTGTGGTTCCTTGCTGGGAAAGGTTTCCGGTAAGGTATCGTTTTTCTTCCAGCCTCTTCGTTGGTTGCAAGCCCCAATTTGTTGGCTGGTGCTGCCTCTGTCTTTGTCTGCCTCAAGGGGCATGGTACCGTTGTAAAATATAAATTACTGTTTACGAAGTGCTCCTTCTTCGGTTAGTTTGGGGTGCGGGATATGTGCTGTGTACTTGGTTCAGTGAATGAGTGCATTCGATGTACGGATTATTGTAGAACAACACTTCATCATTTCTACTATGCGTACACCTCGAAGGTATATCTATGATATACATGCATGAAAGGAGGATTGGCGTCCCAACTGGTCCCTACCGGATGCTCTCAGCCGTTCGTTACATACAGTTCGACACGTGGCCCTGAGGGGACCGGTACCTTGACGAAGCACGCAAATTTATGTCCAAAGCAGGTTTAATATCGTTGAAATCGTACCGGGTGCGTTAACACGGATACCGGTCGGTACGGAAATGCAATAAAATTATGCTGTTGTCGATTTTTTTGCGCAACCCGGTGCCACAACAACACCGATGGGCGCGAAATCCATGATGGGTGGGGGCCATAACACGCACTATTACGGTATTGTCTCGAACGTTGAACCCCTCGCTCTTGAGCCCCGCGCAAACCCTCTTTGATCAAGAACCCTGCACAGGGACGTTGTCCAGCGTCCTTGTTTATCCGGGCGGTGGCTAATGTGCACTTCCTGGAGGGGTGGGATTCTGCGAGCCCGTTGACAACGGTTCTCCGTCGAGGGCAACCCTCTTGAAATGTATTTTTTGAGTCCTGCACGGTTGAGAGAACGTGTCCACAACGCCCTACCAGAGATATCCAGACGGCAACTCCTGTAACTCATGTGCATTTATTGGGAGCTAACCTTATTTGCACAACGTCGATTTTTGTTTTGCAGCGCCTTGCAAGTATGTACTTCGTCATGCATGTAGTCAATGTAGCGGTAGCGGTTGGTAAATCATTCAGTGCGCACATCGTCATCATGCACCGCACGCAACAAATGCAAAGTCTATTCTAGACTACACAGCTCACCTTTTCGGATCATCATTGATGCGCATGATCCTGTCGTTCTGTCGCACATCATTGCATGACCACGCCGCGCTCAATTGGCACTCACCCAGCAGCACCATTTGACCCACCACGCATACCACGAGCAGTACAACGGTACACAGCCTGTACACAGCAACGAGAACCAATAAATAAAGAACGACTTCTTCAGATCGTTTCGGTGGCTACACAGGTGGCTATATCTCGGCGAGTGCAGAGGTACAAGCTCGCATTGCGCGGGCGTCAAGACGCCGAAAACAGGCGAACAAGATCGATCTCGAACCAGTCAACGCCAATGATATGGGGATGGAGTGTAGACGCATCGTGGAACGCGTTTTCGTTTGAAGTTGGCGTTTTGTTTGAGAGTAGATGTGACAGATTTGCGTAGAATAGGGTGAGATGTTATCATGAACGGACAAGAATGGGCTTTTCCAACACGGAGATGTAGCATGGATGAAAGCATTTGTTAGATTTCAGCTTTTTTTAAAGGAATGCCCGCCCGACGGTGGCTTGCCTCCTAGATGTAGTAGATGTAGATTCTGCCGTAGACACTCTTGTCCACGAGCACGTTGAGATGGGAAGGTTGCTTGTTATTGCAGAAGCGGGTCTGCTACAGGACTGAGGTGAGGCGGATTGCCCTCAACCTGGGGGCACGCAGATAGCTAAGTCCCGATGGGGTACGTCCTAAGAGGGTATACCTCCTGACGTCCCCCATCTTAATCTAGACCGACTGTGTACCCTATCTGTGCCATACAGCAACACTCNCCCCCCATCTTAATCTAGACCGCCTGTGTACCCTATCTGTGCCATACAGCAACACTCCTTAACACTAGCCCACCCTGAAGATCATCTATACAGATTCTATACTCAAATCCTAAGGCTACTAATAGCTGGTGATTTAGGATCATGAATCGAAAGATATGACTCTTGAAGACTTCACAAGTGTATCCAAAGGAAAGAGGAGCTGTAGGAATATCCCGACTCGACCCCCCACACCACCATTGAGACAAAAGGTGATTCCGATGACGCGGAAACACAACTAGTGGCAACTCAATGATAAGGTTATACCCATGGAGGGATATAGCTAGGCAAGATGTGCTGCAAAGCACCATGTTTTAACACAAAAAACAAAATAAATCAATATCAACGCCACACACCACTCTATTTCACGCGCAAGCGCGTATTACGACTGGAGGAATGAGGGTGGCGACACAAGAGAGTCCAGAATTACTCCCGCAAAATTCAGTGGGACAGGACGACGGGCACACTACGGCTGAATGCGCTGACCACAAAAGGTAAGACTGAAGAACGTTCATGGCCAAAACGGAAGAGAGGCGTTAATTGCCACCCCAACCAAACTGCACAAAGAAACGTGGAGTCCAAACCATGTAAAACCAATGGCTGGACGAGGCACGAATGATCAAAGTCGAAAACTAATGCGACTAGCCACCCTATATCTCGCACAGACGGGCGATGATGAAACACAAACACACAACACATAATAAACAGAAAACACATAAACATGCATACAACACTAGAACTCGGGATCTCGACTATGATGATGTAGTCGACGCCAGGAAGTGACGATGGCGGAAAGAAGTCCAGTGAAGTGGGCGATGGCGAACGTCGATGAAGGCCGCAGGGGAAGGGGACGCAACGGAATAGAGGTCCGGAGCATGGGGCGTAGTCAACCCATCTCGTGATGACCAGGCTACAGAAACAAAGGTGGCAGTTGGAAACGACGGAACTTGGGGAACTCTTTTTCCAAGTATCCAGAGGCAAACGTCACCGACGAAACGTGGGGAACTCGTTTTCCAAGTGTTCAAAGGCAGACAGCACCACCCATGCTTCGACTACTTCGAATCGTCGACGATGCCGACTGTTGAAAGCAGCGAAGAGAAAACTGACGAACGCACAAAAAAATACAAAAAAAACGTATCCAGGTCGCGGCAATCGATAGACGAAATGCAAGCAACAAGGAAGAAGCACAGAGAAGGACACGTCCAGGTCGCGGCGATCCACGGGCAGACGCAGGCAGACAAAGAATAACGACATCAATCACAATCCAGAACGGGGAACTCAACCAAAACATACTCAAAAGGGAGAACACTCGCCCTATTCCGCCAGCAACGGCGGTGGACTACGAAACGATCAAACAGAACACTGGGAACCGAGGACCGGGTTTGCGCTTTTGGCAGGTNGACTACGAAACGATCAAACAGAACACTGGGAACCGAGGACCGGGTTTACACTTTTGGCAGATCTTTTCTTTTCTTTTCTTTTCTTTTCTTTTCGGTTCCAGTTTGTCAAACAGAAGTGAGCAGAACTAGGAAGACAAAACAAACGCAAAAAAAATAAAAAAAATGGAGCAAGAGAAAACAAGACGCAAGATCTGAGAAAATCAAATCGCCACTGAAAAGTAAGGCATAAAACAAAACAAAACACACAAAACATAAAATAAATGGGAAGTGTCCCCGCAAGGCGCCAAAATACCAAACACTAAGAAGAAACCGTGGGGACGGCTGACGGTAA